AAATCCCCATGGAATATTGCAGCAGTTCTCCATGGATTACTGCAGCAATTCTCTATGCAACACTGCAGCAAATCCCCATGGAATAATGCAGCAGTTCTCAATGGAATCCTGCATCTATTCTCCATGCAGTACTGCAGCAATACTCCATGGATTACTGCAGCCAAATCTCCATGGAATAATGCAGCAATTCTCCATGCAATACTGCAGCAAATCCCCATGGAATACTGCAGCAAATACCTGTTGAATATTGCAGCAATTCCCCATGGAATACTGCATCAATTCTCTATGCAATAGTGCATCAATTCCCCACGGAATCTTGCAGCAATTCTCTATGGAATATTGCAGCCAATACTCATGCAATACTGCAGCAATTCTCCATTGAATACTGCAGCAAATCTCAATGGAATACTGCAGCAATTCTCAGTGCAATACTGAAGCCAATTCCCATGGAATACTGCACAATTCCCCATGGAATTCTGCAGCAATTCCCCATGCAATACTGCAGCGATTCCCCACAGATTACTGCAGCAAATCCCCATGCAATCCTGCAGCCAATCCCCATGGAATCCTGCATCAATTCTCCATGCAATACTGCAGCCAATCTCCTGCTCCCACTGAAATTCTCAAAAGCTGCTTGGTCCTAAACCACTGAAGGGTTGTTTGGCCCAAGGGAGTCAAAAATGAGGGCTGGTGAGCTGCAGGTGTGAGTTAGACTGAAATCAGGGAATTCATTTCCAGTGAGTGACACATTCCATAGTGCCCTGACGTCAGACAAGCTATAAAAGCCACAGGACAGGCTATAAAAAACAGCAGCAAGGTTTGCAGCTCCTTGCTCCACAATGAGCCCAGTGCAGGCAGAGGAGGTTGATTTGTACCTGGGATTGTCCTGGGAGCAGCCACAGCCTGCAGGGGACAAGGAACCAGGGACAAGGAAACAGAGACTCTGCTTTGGCTGATGATGGAAACTTTGAGATAATCCTGGAAAGGAACCTTGGCAATGCTTCTGTGCCAGGTTTTTCCTGGGCACAGTTTTCTCACAGGGACAGGACACAGGGAATGGCTCCCACNCTCAGACTGTGCATTCCATCCAAGGCTGGCCTTTATCCTGGAGGTCTTTTCCAAACTTTCTCATTCTATAATCAGCAATAAAACACCTGCAGAAACACCAAAGGAAGCCCTGAAAGCCCCCAGAGCTGGAAACCACCAGCGAGGAGCTTTTATTGATCACTGCCAAGGTGAACTGAAGTGATGCCGCTGCCGAAATTCAGATTTAAAAGCTGAAAATATAAATTGTGCGCCACGTCTGGAAGCTGTGGCAGAAACCAGTGATGATCAGCGAGCACAGCAGAATTTTGTGTGTTAGATCAGCCCACAGCACCCAGGACAATGATGTTCCCACCAGCCCAACAAAAGCTTTTCTCTTTTATTTCCCCCAGAGAGAGCTCTCTCTTAAAATCCTCCAAGTGTCTCTACATTTTTTTTTTTTGCTTATGATTAATTGCCTCAAATTCTACTGTGAAAAAATCGATGTGGAGAATTTAAATTAGCTTTCCATGTTCATGGCACTAAAAGGAAACATCCTTTTGATTAATTTCTCCTCTTTATCAAATCAGAGGATGCTCCAAAACCACACATTCCCTCTCCCAAAATGTCATTTCCAGCCTGGAGTCAAAAAGCAAACCTGGTTTAAGTCAGCTAAACCCTGGCTGAGAGGGATCTAAATCTGCTGGAAAACTTAGAGGGATCTACAAATAGATGAGAAAAAAATAATAATAAGTTGGAAGAGAACTTGCTGAGGGACTTGGGTGTGTTTGGGGGTGCAGAATCGCTGTGGGTAGTTTAAACCCAGCTTCAAAAAAGCTAAATTCCTTAATATTATTAAGGAATTTATAAATAAATAATATTATTCCTTAATATTATTTTTAAAAATAACCCAAATGAACAAAAAGATTTCTCTCCTGAGCATCTACACCCAGCTCCAAAAAACCCAAATTCCTTAATATTATTTCTAAAAAACCCAAATGAACAAAAAGATTTATCTCCTGAGCATCTACGCCAGCTCCAAAAAAGCTTAATGTTAGCTTTAATATATTCTTTAATATATTAAATTCTTTAATATTTATCAATATTTATTCTTTTTATTCTATTTATTCTGTAAAGAATATTTACTCTTTTAAAAGAATATTTTTCTTTTCATTCTTTTTCTTCTTTAATATATTAATTAACTTAATATAGTCCTTAATATTACTTTTTAAAAAAACCCCAACTAAACAAAAAAAACCAAAACTATTTCCCTCCTGAGCATCTATACCCATGTCCAAAAAATCTTAATATGAGCTTTAATATATTAAATTATTTAATATTTATTAATATTTATTCTTTTTATTCTTTAATATATTAATTAACTTAATATATTCCTTAATATTACTTAAAAAAAAAACAACAACTGAACAGAAAGCACAAAACTATTTCCCTCCTGAGCATCTATACCCATGTCCAAAAAATCCTAATATGATCTTTAATATATTAAATCCTTTAATATTTATTATTTTATTCTATTTATTATTTTTAAAATATTTTTAGTCTTTAATATATTAATTAACTTACTATATTCCTTAATATTACTTAAAAAAAAAACAAGTGAACAGAAAGCACAAAACTATTTCCCTCCTGAGCATCTATACCCATGTCCAAAAAATCTTAATATGATCTTTAATATATTAAATCCTTTAATATTTATTATTTTATTATATTTATTATTTTTAACATAATATTTAAAAATATTTTTATTCTTTAATGTATTAATTAACTTACTATATTCCTTAATATTACTTAAAAAAAACCAACTGAACAGAAGGCACAAAACTATTTCCCTCCTGAGCATCTATACCCATGTCCCAAAAATCCTAATATGATCTTTAATATAATAAATCCTTTAATATTTATTATTTTATTCTATTTATTATTTTTAAAATAATATTTTTATTCTTTAATATATTAATTAACTAATATATTCCTTAATATTACTTAAAAAAAACAACAACTGAACAGAAAGCACAAAACTATTTCCCTCCTGAGCATCTGCCTTGCCCAGCTCTCCCCCGTCCCCGCTAATCCGTTTATTCTGCAATAACAATTCAATCAAACAAACGCAAAGCAAAGCAAAGCGGCGGCGCTGCGGNCAGATGCACCTGTTGCATTCCACAGCAGCAGATAATCATTGCTTACATTTCATTTCTGAGGCCTCTCAGCTTCTCAGGAGAAAAAATCCAAACAAAAGGATTTTTCATAAAATATGTCTGTGACAGAGAAAGGAAAGTCTTTGATGTAGGTGGCACTGCCAAGGTCTGATTTCAAAAAGGGTTTGTGATGTCCCCATCCTGCACTGGTGAGGGAAAACAGGCCAGGAGATGGCTGAAATGAGTGTAGGATCTCCAGGGAATGCAGCCTGGAGATCTGGGCAATTGTCATAAACCTGGAATTCTGCTAGAACTGGATTTCTGGTTGTTACATAGATATGCTGAGAGGGCTAAAAATCATAAATATACATGGTAGTTATCCATGAGAGTTATTTATGATGGTTATCCATCATAAATATCCATGGTAGTTATCCATGGAAGTTATTTATCCATCATAAATATCCAGGTAGCCACGAAGTCTCAAGGTTGTTTCTGGGATTTTCTGGCTCTTTATTCTGTTGGCCCATGTGGTATTTGCAGTCTCAGAACAAAGAGAGACAGAATTCTCTCTCCCAGGATTTTCCCTGGGATTTTTTCCAGCCCAGGGCAAATCTCCTGGGTGTTTTTAAAGGAATTATCTCCTTGGAGAAGGTTTAAGAGGCCATGGAGATGCTTGGCTGTGTTCCCACTGAATCCTCTCTCTCCATGCCCACATCCCCACGTTTGTTTTGCTGGCTCTGAAGGTGCTGAGCACTCTGAGATGTGCTGAAAAAAAAATGGAGTGTAAGACAGGGGATGCTGGAGGTGACAGAGCCACCAGCACCACAAAATGTCCCTGTGCCCTTGGTGGCAGAGCAGGGAGAAGCAGAACCCCCTGAATTTGGTGCTGGCAGGAGCTGGGGGGGATTTCCTGCTGCAGGAGACAGAGCTTGGTTGGGTTCAGCAGCTCCAGGAGAAGGAACTTTGCAGCCAAATGTGGATGTGTGAGGAGAGATCCTTGTTCAGCTGTGCTGAGCTGATCAATGAGCTGCTGCATCCTTCCATGGAGGTTTGGAGATGATTCCTGAGAGAAATTTGGCCAGAAATTTGGCCAAATTCAAGGGGTTGAGCTTATCAATTAACTGCTATTTCCTTTCCTGGAGGTTTGGAGATGATTCCTGAGAGAAATTTGCCCAAATTCAGGGGGCTGAGCTGATCAATGAACTGCTACATCCTTCAGTGGAGGTTTGGAGATGATTCCTGGCAGAAATTTGCCCAAATTCAGGGGGCTGAGCTGATCAATGAACTGAGATGATTCCTGGCAGAAATTTGCCCAAATTCAGGGGGCTGAGCTGATCAATGAACTGCTACATCCTTTCCTGGAGGTTTGGAGATGATTCCTGGCATAAATTTGCCCAAATTCAGCAGCTGAATGACAAGCTGAGCTTGTCAATGAACTGCTATTTCCTTTCCTGGAGGTTTGGAGATGATTCCTGGCAGAAATTTGCCCAAATTCAGGGGGCTGAGCTGATCAATGAACTGCTACATCCTTCAGTGGAGGATTGGAGATGATTCCTGGGAAAAATTTGCCCAAATTCAGGGGGCTGAGCTTATAAATGAACTGAGATAATTCCTGGCAGAAATTTGCCCAAACTCAGGGGCTGAGCTCAGGATGGTGCACCTTGGGAGGGTGGGGACCATGGGGACACAAATCACAGGATGCTGCTGTTGGTGTCAAACTGGCCATGAAATTTGGGGAGGGAGCACCTGGCTCAGCTGTGTTATGGACTGAAATTGTCTCTTCCTCTATTTTCTCCTTGCAGAGAGTTTTGGTCCAGGCCACAGGCTCTGCTCCCAAAGGGGCACAGATGCAGCAAATCTCTGTTCCCAGAGTCCAGCAGGTTCCACAACAGGTAATGAACCCAGCCAGGTCCCCAATCCCGCTTCTGAATCTCTGCCACATCCAAAAACATCCTCATGAAAGACTTGTGGGCACTCACAGAGCTGGCATCACTTTCTCCAGCTCTCTCCTCCTTTCTTTTTGACAAAAGAAACTCTCAAGATGTTTGAAGTTTAGGAAAAAACCGTTGCTGTAGCAGTTGTCTTTCATGTATTTGAAGATTTGATGGATGCATTCAACTTCAATTTAAAAGCATTTATTAAATCAAAGTTAAATTAAAATTAAATCTTTTAGTAAAGATGTTTTTTTAGAGGCAATATGTTTGGGGTTTTTTTTAATTAAACAAATGTACTGCCTGCATGTGGCTCCATAGGAAGATTTGGTGCCAGAGAGCCATGCAAGTGTTTTTATTTATTTGAACTTTGCCTTTTCCAGGGCTTGTTTCCTAAGAAACCAGGGATATGTGGTGCTGCTCCATGTGAACAGCAAGTCTGACCTCCTTATCTTTAGTAATTTTTTTCCTTTAGTGATTTTTTATTTGGTTTCTCCATTTCATGGGGGAAAAAAAATCCGAACCTCCTAAATTAACCTTTTTTTTTTGTGATTCTTAATTTGATTTTTTATTTTATTTATTTTTTCTCCATTTCAGGGGGGCAAATCCTTCCCCCCAGAGTAACAAAAAAGGGGCTGGGGTGCAGCTGGACACTGTCAGGCTCCCCTCTGATGGAAAAGCTGCAGAATGAGCTCAGCCCTGTTAGTCAGCCCCAGACCTTATTTATCTATTTTAACTTGACCTTTGAAAATAAAAACCTCCTTTTCTTTGGCATTCCTAAGCATGGAGGGGAGGCAGGGCAGGCAGGATGGTTTTTTGTTTGGTTTTTTTTGGGTTTGTGGTGTTGTTGTTGTTTTAGTGTTTGTTTTGTTCTGTTTTGGGGAGGGTTTCTGGGTTTGTTGGGTTTTTTTATTTTTGGGGGGGGTTTTGGGTTTGTTTTATTGTTCTTGTTTTATTGTTTGGGTTTTTTTGGTTTTGGGGTCTTTTAGGGTTCTTTGTTTGGTTTTGGGTTTTTTAGGGTTTTTGAGTTTGTTGTGTTGTTCTCATTTATTGTTTGGGTTTTTTGGTTTTGGGGTTTTTTAGGGTTTTTTTTGTTGTTGTTTTGGGTTTTTTGGGGGATTTTGGGTGTTTTTTGAGGGTTTTTGTTTTTTTGGGGTTTTTTTGTTTGGTGGTTTTTGGGGTTTTTTTGGCTTTGTTTTTTGGGGGTTTTTTGTTTGGTTTGGTGGGTTTTTTGGTAGGTTTTTTGTTTGTTTTTTGGTGGGTTTTTTTTTGGGGGGGGTTGGTTTTTTGTGGGTTGGGTGGAGGGGTTTTTGGGGGGTTTTTTGGTTTTTTTTTGGTTGGTTGGTTGGTTTTGTTTGTTTGTTTTGTGTTTGGGGGTTTTTTTGTGTTTTTTTTTTTGTTTTGGTTGGGGTTTTTTTTTTTTTTTTTGTTTTTTGTGGGTTTTTTTGTTTGGNGTGATGTCCTGTGGGTTTGAGCTCTGCCAAGCTTTACAAGGTGGGGTTTGAGATCCCTCCCAACCCAAACCATCCCATGGTCTCTTCCTTGGCTAGGCAGACCCCAACATTTCATTTTGCAGAGGGGGATTTGTGATCATTGCCCATGAATGTGCTGCATTTGGGAGGCCCAACAGGACACAAGCGATGAACAGGAACCACCCAGTGCAAAATGGGAAGGGTTCAGTGAAACTGCTTCATTTTTGTTCCTTTTTCTGCCTTTTGGGGAACTTGCAAAAGAAATTTCTTTCTCAGGAAGCTGGAGGGATGAGAGGATGGGTGGGTGTAACTCAGCTTCATTCTTCTCCAACTCCCAAGGGAGCAGCAGCAGCAGCTGCCATTGGATGCTGATGGAAAGGAACAATTCAAGATTGGGAATTGAAGGAATATTTGACTTTCCAGGAGTCATGGGGTGATGCAGAGTGCTGCTGTCACCTCCCATCCTTCCCATCCTTGCTGGTGTGGCAGGGCTGGGGACAGCAGTGCCAGGTGTCCCCAGGATCACAGAGTGGATTTGGTTGTGAACAAAGGTTGGAAAACCTTTGGATTATAAAATCACCCATCCAGCCTCTGGAATGGAACTGCTGGATTAAGGACTGTCCAGGGGATAGTGAAATCTGCTGAAGAGGAGGAGCATGCAGAGCCTTCCTCTCACCAGCAGGACAAAGAAACACTGGGGATGAGCTGCTGGCAGCAGGAATGGTGTGAGGCTGAAACCCTTGTGGAGCACTGGTGGCCCTGTGGGTTTGAGCAGGGTGGCCTCACCTTCCGGGTGGGGATGATTCCTTATCTTGGCTGGAAGGTGATAGCAGAGCACAGAGCCAGGGATGTGGCATCTGGCAAAAGCAGTGCCAGAAAATGGGCAAAAAGGAGGAAAAATGTGGTGGTGTTCACAGGAAGAGATGAGAATCTTGACTCCATGTTTCAGAAGGCTGATTGATTATTTTATGATATATATCATATTAAAGGAAAATGATATA